CTCGCATAAGAACGGCCAGAGTTGACTCCGCCTGCTGAGGAGACTCAGGTTCCTAAAGTACGCAGGAGTCTGTTCAGCACGTTTTATGATTCGGTGGTAGCATCTGCCTTTTTCTATGCAGTGGCCTGTTGGGGGAGCAGATGCACGGACAGGGGTGGAGGTCTAGCTCTGTCCTGGGATGCCCTCTGGAGTCTGTGGTGGTGGTGGGCGAGAGGAGGATGTTAGCTAAGCTAACGTCCATCATGAACATCCCACGTCCTCCTTCAGTCACTGACTGATACCCCCACTGCAGGAAGGAGGGCTTCTGCAGGTCATTCAGGATTTATAACACATTCTGATGTCATGAGTCACCCAACCACTTTAACTCTACGTCAGCACTCCATGCATGACACACCTGATACATCTGTGCGTGCGTGGTTACATGTTGGACAGTAAAAAGTAGTTGTAGCAGAACAGCTGATACTTTTTATGTAGTATTACTTCGATAATGTTTCACAACCCGTTGTCCACAATGCTTTCTGTGTCTGAACAGGAAGTTGTGTCTGCCGTCTGTGCTGTGGCAACACAAAAATGTCCCCACTGTGGGATCAACAGAGTCTTACTTTGTCTTGTTTGTAGTTTACCTCCGTTCTGGTTTACAGTTCAGATGTGTTACAACAGGAAAGACAAAAAAATGCTTCTATTTAAAGTGTGGTGTGGTTCACTGAAAAACTACTTTTATGATTATTTCTGACTATAATCAGTCTGTAACGTACCAAAAGGATCCGTTCTCACCTACATATAGAGCAACATAAAAACCTTTCATCTACAGAAATAAATCCACTTCCTGTTTGACCTCCAAACCCAGAAGGTTCTGCTCAGCGCGTGTTTACATGCAGAAGACAAACGTTCTCACCCAAGGTTCCTGCACTCTGCATGAATGCCAGACGTCAACATTCTTCACCCTGAATAAGTGAAGACTCCATGATTTTATAGTAATAAGTTAAATAATCAGATGTGATGAATGAACAAGATGTTTGTTTTTTCTTCTGCAGTTCTCAGAGAGTACAGACGCTTTTTTCTCAGCTCCCTTATCAGCTTCCCCAAGGCTCTTGTCCTGTCTGCCTGCAGAGCACTTCTCTGCATTTCTCCTGAAACCACTACTCTCTTTTTGGAAAATGGACTTAATTAACTGGTCATTCAACGCGATTGATAAGATTTTTTCTACGATGAGAACGGAGAAGGGGGCTCCCACCTGTCCCGAGGGGACATTCGCAGCGGGACATGCACTCGATTCTTGGGAGGTCTGGCGAATCGTGTGCCTCTCTCAGCTGTCCATCGAGGACGTGGAAGATTTGTGGATATTCGGCCTGATGATCACTGGATTTCTTCTGATTGGAGTGGGAGGATATCTGGTTTTCTGGAAAATTGGGAAGACGGGAGTGATTCGAGTGTGGCCCGCGCCCACGGAATGTGCCGCCCGTGCGGTGACCTCACAGACTGGGACGTTACTCGAGGTGAACCGTAAGCTGGACAATGTCCTCGCGGCGTTGCCTGTGTTAGTGCGCAAGATGGATGTCATCTCGGAGAGGGTTGCTGGACGGTGTGGGGATGTTTAGAACGTATAATTGGCTTCACTGGTGGACATGAATGACCACTTATAGACTCCAAGGCAGAGAGGAAAATTATCTCTGCCTGCCCTAAACAAAGTCTTGCTTATCCTTATCTGACGCCAAGCAGCCTCCAAGGCTGTTCATCAACACACCCCCACGTAAGGAGGAATGCGGACAGATGCTGTGTCCCGACCTTCCCCCCCTGCCTTCAGATTGTGACTTCTGCTTCGAGGTCATCAACCTGCAGGAAACTCAATGTGCTCTCTGTCCTCATCTCTGCCTCCCACCTGTCTGTCTGCAGCTGGCTGAGCGCCGTAACGGCAGCTCCCGTTGGAGGATTCAGGATTCTGCCCAACCCCGCCTCCCCATCGGACTCTGATGTTGTATCTGTGATGTTCGTGCTTCTATGTTGAGGAGTTTTTTGTATAATAGAGCTACTCCCCACTGGGTCGAACTCTGTTATGCCTTTTTTACCTTACCCCAATTATCCTCATGTAACACCCTTTTCATCTAATGAAATGAGCGCCGTCCTGGCTGCTCTCGTGACTGCCTGTACCTGTTTTTGTCTACATGTGTGTGTGTTTAACCTTGGTCAGGTGTGTTCGCGGAGTCAAGTTCCTATGCTCTGGGTCGCTGGAGCGCTGGCAATAAAGCTGATTCTGATTCTGTGCTTTAATCGATGAATCTGACATGAATATTGTTCTTACAACGATCCAGTTATATCACAGATCAGCATGTTTAACAATTAATCGTTGTTTACACTCACACACGTCACAATAACATACTCATTAAGGTTAAAAACATCTTAGTGTCTGAGGAGGGCGTGGCTTCTGAGGGATGTTGGTAAATACTCAGAAACATGTCAAATTCTGATTGGCCCAACTTGGCCAGAAATCATAACAAAGCAGTTTAATAAAACAGGAATTACTTCCCGATTACTTCAGTTTCCAGCTGAACCTCGAACCGGCCAAGTCGGGAAAGAAGCCTTTTAGAAACAAACTCCTTTGATCTGAAGTCAAAAACATTTCTGCGGCGCTGCGAGTGATCACACACACACAACAGCTCTTTCAGAGCTACTTCAACTCTCAGAGATCCACCTCGGACACCTAACCTGCAGACCCCGGGTTGCATCTCAGAGGAAGCTACTCATCTTTGAGTATCGTGGTTTCGACGTACGGTGACCTCACCTCTCTAAACGCAAACCTCCGGACCACCAGGAGCAACTCATACAAGGCTATTGTAAGCCTGCATACTGGTGTCTGATGAGGTTTATAAATAAACAACTCCGTAGTTTACAACAAACAACAAGTTGTTTTACAGCCAGATGTCACAATTTCTCTCAGATACAAAGAACGGTTGCAACAAGATCTAGCTTCCATCACACCACCTCTCATCATTCATATCCTGTCATGTATAAATTGTTAGTTTAGGAAAAATAATTAAATTACTTTTATAAGCTGTTTACTGACTCTGTCTGAATTAATACGAAGTGTGTTTATGGTCCCTGAACAAGTAAAAGTAACTAGAATCTTCCGATTAAACATTCAACGACCAATAAGATGTGATATTTCATATTTATTTGGAATATCACATCTTATTGGTCATAATAAACATGTTTTCATCCCTCTGAGTGTTTCATGCAGGCTGAACCTGAAAATAGTCTCCTACACCTATCTCCTGCATTAGCTTCTGATAGAAAACAGACGGTGAAACTCTAGGATTTGAAAATCCTTACAGATCTATGTCACACTGTCAATTAACATTCATAGACTCGCCCATCCTGGCTTGCAATGGGGAAGGTTGTCGTTGGTTTAGTGTCCAGGAAACAGCAGAGAATGTGTCGCCTAGTAGACGCTAACTGTTAGCATTAGCTACTCCACCACACAGCAGAACTCCTCCAGGCTTGTGTTTTGTTGTAGAGATAAACGTCAACGTAACAGAGCAAACAGTCGGTGGTAGAGTTGTGTTGCTGTTAGCCAATCAGAGGAGAGATGTCCAGATATTAGGAAATAGTCCAAATTCTGTCGTCTGAAGCTCTCCTCTGATGTGGCTCACCTCTAGTTCCTGAAACAGGCCCATCCCCCCACCCCCACCCCCAGAGCACGAATTACAAGGCATCCATTCCCACTAGAGACCACTGCAAATGTACTGATTAAATGAGTGAACCACACCTTTAGTCACACTGCTACAGATTATAACACTTGCTGTTTTTTAAAAGCATTCATTAGTCACCCGAGAGAGTAAAGCACACGAATTATGAGCTTTCGAGCTTTCCATACCTCTGACCACCAGTGAAACCTTCATATCTGTGTGTCCTTACCTCGTATGTTGCCAACCGATCCAGGTAGAAGAGGAGTTTCAGTCGACTTCGACACAATTCCTTCTGCTCCAGAGTGAGTCTGAGTACGCAGAAACACACACACACACACACACACACACACACACACACACACACACACACACACACACACACACACACACGTAAATAGCCAGCACACTGGCACCAAAACAGTTAAAGGCAGCAAATCTAATGCAAGACCTTGGATGAAAACATTAACTGCAGTCAAATCAGACTTCTGCCTGGGCTGACGACTGCACGGGCGCGTGAAGCAGCTTTAAGTGAACTGTAAATTGGCCCTGCTGCACAGGAAGCCCACAGGGACAGATTGGACCGGTGACTACGCTACTACACAGTGCCCTCGAAGCCAAATCATTTTCTAAGGGCAACAAATCAACTGCTTGTGACCACAAAGACCTGTTGGCTTGTTATGTGCAGGATACACGCTGCCAGTGTTGTGAATTATTATCCCACAAGGATCAAATCAATTTTCTATGTCATTTAATCACAGCTGTAAATAAACACCAAAGATCCATCTACAAATCAGTCACTCAAGGTGAGCCCATGAGAGGGGGGTAAATAAAGTCTGAACAGCACCATGGGGGGTGGCGTGTGACCCTTCAGGACAAAAACAGTAATAACACATCCAACAGATGCTCCAGTAGGAGAATCCAAACCTCCCTCCTTTTAAAAATGTGTCCAGGATCATCAGCTGAGGAGCTGACCTCTCATCCCTCACCTTAATCCTTAATCCCTAATTACGGCGGGTGATATCAGGTCTTCTCATGGCCCCTCTACAAAGGCTAACACAGATTAACACTGGCTCAAAACACCCTCTGGCACATCAAAGACTGGTGGCTAGCAGCTCGCTCGAGCGGTAATTACTCCGCTGTTTTCACTGAGTGATGAAAAATAAAAAACACAAGGCGGCTAGAAGCCAGATTGGCGTTTTCCTTCACTAATGCAACAAATTCCTTAGATTTTAATAGATTGCACCGTTTAAAACGTAGCTGCTCCTCTGATTTCATTCTTGTTATTATTTTAACACCAGCATACCTACTTCTGTACAACTATTAGTTAACATTAGACACTAGGTAGATATTAATGGAGAACACTTGGAGATTAAGACAAGTGTTCATATCTCGGCTACATTCTCCCCAGAAGCAGCGTGAACAACATGTGCTGCAGCTCACCGCACCAACAAGGACAAGCTGGCACCGCACGACGGTAACAGAGGACTGCTTCCGTTTGTGTACAAGTAGCTCACTTCACTGTAAAAGCTGAAAAACTAAATCAAACATTTTTAAATAAAGCATTCTGAATTTTGATAGCCAATACCGGTGCCGATTTTCAGAAATTCAGTCTACTGATCAGCCATTTTTTTATTCCCAGAATTCAACTGCTTAAGTTACGCAAATTGTAAAATGTTCCATTTTGAAAATAAAAACAAATAAAGCATTTTATTTCATGATTTAGCCCAAATCTCAACATATGTATGCATTTGTTAGCGCAAAATAAGTTCATTTTAACACTTTAAGCTATTGCACTGAATCTGGTTTCAGTGGTTCCTGAGCCAGAAACACGAGCAGCTTCACACTCCGCTGCCCTCTGCTGACCAGGAGCTGCACTTACTTGTGGTTCGGGTAGGAAAACTAGTGGGAGCTTTTTGTAAACGTTTATGTTTATGTATTTAGCAGACTGTGTGTACTGTGTCGGTAGGTCATATAAAGGTTAAAAGTTAACTTTTTCAGTTAGTTGACCATCAATAAAACGTTCAAGAAGAAGAAGTTTCCTTTTTCTTGGCATCATGGTGGAGTCTGGAAGTAAGAGAGTAACGTCTTTGGTCATAAAGCAAAGAGCTAAAACAAGAGTGAACATTGAAACAACCCACACTTGTCTGAGGGAGCTAAATGAGGCTACAAAACCACGGACTGATGATGACCTAGCTTTGTTGCTACTGGACTTAAGTAATAATATTGCAATAACAGTGTGGATCTTTTTACTTCGTCGCTTATTTTGGTATCAGTTGGCTCACATTAGCATTAGCTTGTTGTTAGCGTTAGGGTTAAGTTCTGTGTGTTTTTATATCTTTAGTTAAATGACAGCAGGATATTTTATTTTGGTTTTTATTACAGAAGTTGTTTGGACTTGCAGTGATGAACAGATGCAGACAAAGAGCAGCAAATACCCTTTTGCTTATTCCATGCTTCAGCTGGGTCAGCCTGAAGAAGCCGGCAGCCGTCGGCGAAACTGTAGCTACAAAACAGGTAAACAAAACTGTTTCTGTGTTTAAAAAAGAACGAAAGCATGGAATTAGAACCACGACACAGTAAGAACACACCTAAGATGTTCAAAGACCTTTTGCTTATTCTTTTTAACCAACTGCTCGACTTTCTTGGTGGTCTGCCGGTGTAGTACTGAAAAAGGTGCCCTGATAAGAAAGGCACAGCTGCTGCAGGAAGCTCACTGACAAAACCTTTCTTTGACTCCCTTTACAACACTTGGATGAAGCCAGGGAAAGGCATTTCAACATTTTTGCAGTGTGTGAAAATCAAACAAAGCATTTGAACGCACACACGTTGCAACCGTGAAAGAATAAATTGCATTAAATCCACATAAAGACACAGTGAAGTTCAATGCTGCAGCAAATGACTGAAGTCTGGATCTATTCTGATAAGAACGTAAACACCTTGGAGCAGACTACGCTCTTTCATCTTCACTGATTTACCCGTGTCTTCCTTACAAACACACAACCAGCAGCACATCGCTGCAGAAACACAGCACAGGAAGTCAGAGCCAAGTTTATTATGACGCCTATACAACTTCCTTTGAGCACAGGCTAATTCAGAAGGATATAACATTCTTCAAGTTGCATAATCTTTATATATTCCTTTAAAAAAGATTGTCTGGAGGAGGATATAAACGTATCTCAACATGTTAGATCATAAAAAAGAGAACAGAGTGGGTTTTACGTTCTCCTGAACCAGACAAGTCAATAAAAATCTACAACGGCATCTTTTAGGGTTCATTTCTCCTCCATTTACTGCAAAAACCAGTCAAGTCATTACATCTGAAGTCCCAGAGTGGACAAACGACAGCATCAAAGATGCATTCTGTGTGATGGTGAACGGATAAATGCTGTCCTTACTTACACACACACACACACACACACACACAGCAGCGTCACCGCACACACACACACGGACATGCACACACACACACACACACACACACAGCAGCGTCACCGCACACACACACACGGACATGCACACACACACACACACACACACACAGCAGCGTCACCGCACACACACACACACACAGCAGCGTCACCGCACACACACACACGGACATGCACACACACACACACAGCAGCGTCACCGCACACACACACACACAAACCAGCGTCACCGCACACACACACACACACACACACAGCAGCGTCACCGCACACACACACACACACACAGCAGCGTCACCGCACACACACACACGGACATGCACACACACACACACACACAGCAGCGTCACCGCACACACACACACACACACACCAGCGTCACCGCACACACACACAAACACATGCACACACACACACAAACACACAGCAGCGTCACTGCACGCGCACACACACACACACACAGCAGCGTCACCACACACACACACACACACACACACATACACACACACACACACACACACACCCTGACGTACTCCGAGCAGAAGTGATCGATACAGAGCCATTACAGAAATGGTTCTGTAGTTAAAAAGAAATTAAGAGACTTATGATCTGACTCGAGTCGTGAGCCTCCACTCAACATGGTTAGACCCAATAGTGTGTGTGTGTGTGTGTGTGTGTGTGTGTGTGTGTGTGTGTGTGTGTGTGTGTGTGTGTGTGTGTGTGGATAGTAACACACTCTGAGGCGGCGGTCTAGCAGGCAGCCTGACTCAAAGACAGATAAGGCAGAAGAATGGGAACATTTGCAGAAGTAAATCCACAGACAGCTAAATGCAACGGGCTCCTTTTATGTTTAGGAATGATCGATTTCTTCCACAACCTCTTAAAGCCTGTTTCCTGTCCTCCGTCCTTCCTTCATCTACTCTGGACTACAGGTCTGCAGTAAAGCTCGGGTTTTATTACACGGCGGATGAGCCGCACAGACAATCACACCGGGACAAAAATAAACAGCAAAACAAAGGGCGGCCATTACAAAGTCTCACTATTACACGCTTTACGCTTCTCCTCATTCACACGCACACTAGCAAGTATCTGATGGGAGAAAAACAAGAACTCGTACAATCCAGTACCCCAGAATGAAAAAGCTGCACCCGGTATGGATCTGCACTTTGGAAGTGCACCTCTCCTTTGTGTATACTTCTTTATGTCCCTCCAACACGTGCGTGTTTCAGGACACGGGTGTTCATTTGCACATATGAGGGGTGATTAGTGATCACTAACGGGTTTTTCATTAGTCTCTCTCTGGGCACCTGACAACAAAGGAATAAATTACCTCCAGCTGATTAGCCACTCATCTCCACCAATGGCTTTCCTCTGTCTTCACCTCCCTCGTTCCCATTAACGGCCCTGACTTTATGATCCCGCTCCCCAGTGTGCCACCTAATCAAACTATTAGAGTTACGTTTGCCAGCCCTGTCTGCCATTCCCTCTTGGTCTCTACACCATCAACACTTTGACCAAAAGTGGTTCATCAGTTGATTTTGAGAAAGAAACCATCTTACTCTGATTATACTACAAGCAAGAAGGTTCTGTACTCAGCTGGTGGGTCCAGAAACAGGAGAACTGGAGGATATCTAGTTTCTAACTAGATACTTCATCAGTTAAAACAGAAAAATGCAGAGAACCAAGCTTTGTAAATACAGTCCCGATCAAAGGTTTAAGACCACTTGAAAAAAGGCCCAAAATTATACTTTGCATGGTTGGATCTAAACAAGGTGGTCTTAAACTTTTGATCGGGATTGCATGAGATTACAAATATGGAGAAGAAGATCCCATATAATGTCAGATTCTACCGATCTGTTCTGTGGGGTACCCCAAGGCTCTGTGTTGGGTCCACTCTTGTTTCTAGTATATATTTACAGCCTCTTGGACAGATAATTGATTCTTTCTATAATGTCTCCTATGACTATATGCAGACGACATCCAGCTGTACTGTCCTTTAAGGATTCCGATTTTAATAAGCTGAACTACTAGAATGTATATCAGCTACCACCAGCTGGCTAGAAGATAACTTCCAACAGTTAACCTCTGAATGCCTGATCATTGCCCCTGAAGTGAGTCTACTCTTTCTTTTGGTAGTTTGGGTGTTTACATGATCATTCTGTAACTCGGGGGCTTTCTGTTTAGATAACAGCTGGCAGTGAACGAGTTCACATCGGTCCAGTTTCATGTATCGGACCGATACCAATGTTGATGCTGATATATCGTGAATCCCTACTTGGAACTCCACATTTTACTGTTTGGATTTAGAAAACTCACTTTTCCATCCATCCACTGTCTGAACCCGCCCGTCCACGTGGGTGGGGGTGGGGGGTGGGGGGGCTGGTGCCTATCTCCAGCGGTCAATGGGCAATCAGGCGGGGTACACCCTGGACAGAGTGCCAGTCCATCGCAGGAAAACTCACTTTCATTTAAGGAAAATAAACGAAATGAGAATCCGCACACTTCAGTCTGCGATGTAGGAGTTTATTGGTCAAGCTTTCGGTCAGAGACCTTCGTCAGGAATTGTGGAGGTTCACACCAAACAATCCTTAGTTTAACAGGTCATTTCAGGTCAGTTCACACCAAACTAAGGATTGGGTGAAATGTACGGATTCTCTTTTTGTTTATTCCACTTTTTGGTCCAGCACCTTTTCCCAGACGAGCGGTGACTCCTTCTACTCTACTTAAGGAAAATAAGAAGTCCAGTTGTTATGGAAGCTACTAGGATCCACACAAATGCCGAAAATAAAAACCTGTCATGTTATGGGGATGGTTAGGACCCAAAAATGCAGATACCCAGGATGACACGAGGCAGCAGTTGATATAAGAATAAATCCCTTTATTTGTAGGATGAAACAAAAAATAAATCTGAAGGCCGGGAGCCAAAAATCCAAAACCAGAAGAACAAAAGCTCACCTAGAGCACAAAACTGGGACGAGATACAAAAGCTCACATAGAGCATCAGAAAACGCTGACACACAAACAATGTACCGACAAGACACCGAGACAAGACAGGGCTTAAATACACCGGGGCATGATGGGAGGCAGATGAGCTGCAGGTGTGTGGGGAGCAATAATCAGGGAGGGAATCACATGACCTAAGAAAACACCTAAAAACAAGAACAGCAACCACATAACTAATATTCTTAAGGGAAGGAGAACTACAAAGACCGGGGGGACAAAACACACTAAAGAGACCAATAGCATGAGAAGCTGAAACTACAAACACTGCAGAGGGGCGACTGGAGAAGACTAAAGGAGCACAGGACCTGAGGGATATACCTGGAAGGCTGAAGACCAGCGGACACATGAGGAACACAAAGAGACACAGACCGTGACAAAACCAGACACCTGATTTTGGTCAGGGTCAGAATTTCTTTTTTAGGGATTTTTTCCACCCACTCGTCAAATGCTTCCCCTCGTTTCTGCGAGCCCGGTGAATAAATACACAAAAACACCAGCAGCCTGGCAAAAATGAGGAAAATAATGTTAAATGACAACAACGGTTTTATTACCTTCCTTAAAACACAAACGTTGATCCTCGTTTGCCAAATCAGAGCTTCTCCTGCAAAACTGTCACTTCCACAAAACACCGAAAGCATCCGTCTGCTTCAGTGTAAAACGGCACCACGGACAGACAATCGTCCAAAGCTCTGTTCTGTTTTCCTCTCAAATATGTCTGACTACCAAAACTGTAAGAAATTAAGAGTTGTGCAGCAGCACTGTGTGTCTGGCTGGGAACCTACAACGCAGCCGTAATCTAACCTCACCGGAGGCTCCAACGCTGCTGGTGCTGGAGGAATAAACTGCTTACACCTTTCTGTTTGACTAACAGGAGATTTTAGTGAAAACCAAGTTTAGAAAACAGGTGAAATAAATTCTGTGAACTCGAGAGATCGTATAAAAGCTGCAGACTCCTCGTGTTGATTAGGGAAATAGATAGGTACATTTGAGCGTTTCTTTAGTGTGAAGCTGCAAAAAATGGATAAAGTAGTAAACTGACATGGTTGAAGTAAAGCTGATCAGCTAAGTAGCACTATCAGAGCGCTGAAGTGATTAGCAATAAAAACATGAATCCTGAAATCTATAAAAGAGGTTCAAGGCTGTCTAAAGACAGAAACGGATGTGATTCTGCGTCTGTACACACCCATGCTTTACAAACTAACACTGCACATTTACTTCTACAACAGGTGCGTAGGGATGAACCAATCCAAAGAAGCAAACTGAACTCCTACACGCTGCTAAACTTACAAGACCAGACATTTATCAGGCAGTTGGGTCCATTAGAAACTCGGACAGGCTCATACCTGCTAAAGTCAACCTTAGCTAGCAGCTCTCGTCTCTTGTCCTTCTTCATCTCCAGCTCTTCATCATCTGCCAGAGTGTCCTCATATGGGAGGTCATCAAGGTCCACATCACCGGGCAGGATGAACCTGCATCAGTGAAGGAGGAGGAGGCAGCTTACCTTGACTATGTTTACACAGCAGGACTTAATGCTCTTATTGAATTTGATTGTTGTGTGTGGGCGATCGCACCACAACCGAAACGTGCAGCAAACACGCTCCGCTGTGCTTTAGTGGCCCGCGTGTGCACAAGACGTGACACACAAGGGCTCGGTTTAATCAAATAAAAATGGAGGCTATAGTTGTTGGTGCTGGTGGGTGACGGTGGCACAGGACTTTAGAGCTCGCCCCGTAATCGGAAGGTTGCAGGTTCGAGCCCCACTCAGTCTGTCGCTGTCGTTGTGTCCTTGGGCAAGACACTTAGCCCACCTTGCCTGCTGGTGGTGGTCGGAGGGACCGGTGGCGCCTGTGCTCGGCAGCCTCGCCTCTGTCAGTGCGCCCCAGGGCAGCTGTGGCTACATCGTAGCTCATCCCCACCAGTGTGTGAATGTGTGTGTGAATGGGTGAATGACTGATTGTGTTGTAAAGCGCCTTGGGGGGTTCTAGGACTCTAGAAGGTGCTATATCAAATACAGGCCATTTACCATATTTGTGCAACCAACATACTTTTGACAAATTATCCGCCATGCTTGTTTGAGCACTTGCATCCTGCGGCGTACACAGGACGGACGACCTTTCAGATTTAAAACGGGGAGCAGCACGATGCGTTTCTACTGCAGGAGGATCGCACTTCTGGAGGAGAATCCACTGCACAGTCGAACCAGATTCAGGAGGAACAATGTGGTTTTCGTCTATACCTTAGGGCAGTGGTTCCCAACCTTTTTCCCAAGGGACCCGCTTTTTACCAGTAACATTTCTGACGACCCCCTCCCATTCTCTCTTCCAGTACAAACATTATTAAGAAACAATAAAATGGTTCAAGCACATTTTAACATGCTTTGATTGAATAGATAACAGTAACAGTAGGCTCCAGTACAGAACAAAGTCTTTAACCAAACCAAACAGAGCATCATGTGCTTGACAGTTGGTATTACTTTTCTGAACACATTGTTTCTTGTAAACACCGATAAATCAATCATTCCTTTCAATAAACGTTTGACACATAAAAAATACACTGAGCAAAATGTACTTAAATGTGTACATTACTGTTTATACTAGATTATTTACTGTAAAGGCTGTGATTAATCAACCAGTCCTATCTTTAATGAACTTTTGACACTTGAAAATAAAACAGTGAGCTGAGCAAAATGTTCTTAAAAGTGTGTTACTCTTTCTGTACTAATTATTTCCTGTCTTAATATCAGTAAACTTTTCACTCATGAAAAAAATATGAGCAAAATGTAGGCTATAAACAAGTAATAAATGAAGTTTTAACCCCTTAAAGTGGAGAGGTCCTGGCGACCCACTGAGAGGCTTTGGCGCCCCCTTGTGGGGGTCGGGACCCCCAGGTTAGGAACCACTGCCTTAGGGGGTCCTAGAGGGTGCGTGGGAGTTCGCCCAGCCAATCCTCATGTGTTTAGTGGATTTGGAGAAGGCGCTCGACTGCGTCCCCCCCTGTGGGGGTACTCCGGGAGTATGGGGTACCAGGCCCTCTGATACGGGCTGTTAGGTCCCTGTATGACCGGTGTCAGAGCTTGGTCCGCATTGCCGGCAGTAAGTCGGGCTGGTTCCCAGTGAGAGTTGGACTCCGCCAAGGCTGCCCTTTGTCACCGATTCTGTTCATAACCTTTATGGACAGGATTTCTAGGAGCAGCCAAGGAGTGGAGGACATCCGTTTTGGTGACCTGAGGATCAGGTCTCTGCTTTTTGCAGATGATGTGGTCCTGTTGGCTTCATCAGAACGTGATCTTCAGCTTTCGCTGGAGCGGTTTGCAGCCGAGTGTGAAGCAGCTGGGATGAGAATCAGCTCCTCTAAATCTGAGACCGTGGTCTTGATCCTGAAAAGGGTAGAATGCCTTCTCCGGGTCAGGGTTGAGGTCCTGCCCCAAGTGGAGGAGTTTAAGTATCTCGGGGTCTTGTTCACGAGTGAGGGAAAACTGGAGCGTGAGATCGATAGGTGGATTGGTGCTGCATCTGCAGTGATGCGGGCCTTGTACCGGTCTGTCGTGGTGAAGAGAGAGCTGAGTCAGAAGGTGAAGCTCTCGATTTACCGGTGGATCTACGTTCCTACCCTCACCTATGGTCATGAGCTTTGGGTAGTGACCGAAAGAACGAGATCGCGGATACAAGCGGCCAAAATGAGTTTTCTCTGAAGGGTGGCTGGGCTCTCCCTTAGAGATGGGGGAGGGGCTCAGAGTAGACCCGCTGCTCCTCCACATCAAGAGTCGTCAGTTGAGGTGGCTCGGGCATCTGGTCAGGATGCCTCCCTGGTGAGGTTTTCCAGGCACGTCCAACCGGGAGGAGACCTAAAGGTAGACCCAGGACACGGTAGAGGGACTATGTCTCTCATCTGGCCAGGGAACACCTTGGGATTCCCCCGGAGGAGCTGGCCCAAGCGGCTGGGGAGAGGGAAGTCTGGGCCTCCCTGCTTAAGCTGCTGCCCCGCGACCCGACCCCGGATAAGCAAACAATAATGGATGGATTGATGGATGACCATTCAGACAGAAGTTGCTGTCAAAAGCATCGGGTAGGTATGAAATTCAGCACCACAGATGAAGGTGACCTGGGTCGGATTTGTGTTGTCCCGACAGTGATAAAAAACTCAGACATGGGTTGCACTGATTATTGACGAGCTTTTCCCTGCAGTGTGAACATAGCCTTCAAAGCTCGTGTATCAAAGATGATGGCGTGTGGTCTACCTGCCGCCATCTTCATTGTGCCCGATGGCGATCAAGGCCTCCAGGTCAGTTCCCTTCAGGCCATACTCCAGCAGCTCTTTGGCAGCGTCAACATTCTCCGGGACGCGCTCCACACATTCGTGTAACACCCAGGAGCGCTTGCGGATCTTGCTCTAGGAAGGTTTAGGGAAAAGGAGGAGAGTAGTTCAGAAAGAACGACGAGAAGCAGATCTCTACGATCTGTGTCTCGTTTCTTTTAAAGCCTCACCAGATAATCCTGTATCGATGCGATGCTGACTGGACTCTTCCGCCACTGCCTCTGGTAGACCAGGTCAGAGTCCAGATTATACGCCTGAGCAAGAGACAGGGCTTCGCCATATTCCTCATTGTCAATCTGTTGGGCAATCACAAAAACGCACTCAAACCAAAGGTCAGACTAACGATGAGGTCAAATGTCCGTTCTGAATAAAGATCTATTCAAATGAGAACAGGTCATGAGAATCAACACCACATCGTTACAACTGTTTTATAACTTCATCCCTGGGCTACACAACCACTTCAAGCCTCACTTGTGCCTCTAAAGAGAATTTAATTATTCAAATATTAAATACATTTAAAAGCTAATTCCTTTTTTATGAAAAAAACATACCTTACATCACCTTTACATCAAACTGAAGGACAAAGAGGTCAAAGTGTAGAAGAAGCAGATAGACAGGCTTTGTAAGCACACTTGAAAAGCAGAGACTGAATAGGAAGAGTTCCAGCGAGCAGATTTCAGTTTAAAAACCACTGAAGATGTGACGGATAAGGGTTAGATACGAGATAAGGAGAGGATATGTAGTAACACACGTCAGGACCAGGAATTAAAGCATCACGCTGCTAAAATAACACCAACCGTAATGGTCTACATCACACAGGCAGCTGTCAATACACACAGCAGGTGCTTTGAACTACGCACAGCTGGCTGACATGATGGCATTTAATCAGCTATGGTTAGCATAATTAACATCTTAGTGGCAACTGAACCTCCACATCCTGTTAAACAGCCACACATCTGTTGTTATAGGCCCTGCAATGTCAGCTGATACAAAACAATATGTTCCTACATGTCCCTACAACCCAGTAGGGTCTACGTTTGGTTCTGGAAGGCCACTATCCAGCATATTTTGGTTGTTTCCCTGCTCCAGCACACCTGATTCAATGGTTGCATCGTAATCAAGCCCTGCAGATGCCTGCTAATCACTTGATGAGTAAAATCAGGTGTGTTAAATCATAGCAAGCATTATTTTTGTATTCAAGTAAGGCCTTACCAACAGATAGCCATTAGGGTCAAAAATCCTCGGGAGTGCAACTTCCAGCAAAATAACAAGAACATCAGATTTCTTTTCATCACTGGCAACGAGTGAAGGGGTAAATGTGTAAAAACGTTTATTAATGCTGAACGTTTTGCAACCATTTGCTACAAATCAGTATATGCATTCTGTCCTCACGGGCTTCCGTAGAAGGAAACATGGCATCCAATATGGCGTCGCCCAGAGACTTAGACCTGCTCCCACATATTTTAGACCCGATTTTTATGGACATATGTTACGAAACCGCCAATGTTTTTCAACAACTAGGAATCTTTCATTCATTTACATTTCCATGGATATGTCCAGAGATTAATGGTAAAAACTACACGTTGTCACTTTAAAAGAAAAATACAGAAAAATGCAGGATGGTTGCCATGACTGGTCTAAACACTATACCAAATGCCAGATGGTAGGACACAAAATGAAACTATAAGATCAAATACACTTGATGGTGCAAAACAGGATTAGAAATAGTTTAAGATCTGACAAAAGGCACATTTTGTCCCAAAAATAAGGCAAAAAAATATTTTTAAACTTCTTTCTGTCTGGACCAGTTTAGATGTAACACACTTTAAGCCTGATCATCGCTGTGCACTCATAAAACAAAGTAAATAATGCTAAACAGGTGTTTACCAGCTGATGATCTCTGCTAACGCGACCGTGTTGTGAGTTTGTAATTAAAACCATATTGATGTTAAATACTGGTTATGGTGATATGTTTACCAGCAGCTGTTAGCATAAGGCAGCTAGATGTTAGCTGGAGCTCATTTTCTTATGTTAAGAGAATTATTTGGTTATGTTGGTCAACAACTTGCAAAAATGAAACAAAATACAATAAAATTGTGATCGAGATTTTAGTGTAAAACTGGGATAGAATTTCACCTTATTTTCTATCCTAGTACAGCAAAAAAGTCTATGCACTAAACAATATAATGTATTATATGATACAATCTATGATGCATGCAACATGCAGAACCGTATAATATATAATATTCCCTCCTTTCAAGAACGGCATATGATGGTTTTAGAAATCCGTGAAGGTGATACTCGGTACGGAGATATTGCCAAGCCCGGCCCCCGGCCCACGGACTCTCATGCACTTCTAACTGAGTGCAGCTTGCACGGGTGTTTGCAGAAGAACCTAGACTGATGCAGAGTAGGTGACCTATTTTATGGACAAGCGAGTCTTTAAAAGATGTAAATGAATATTTACTAAAACAATGTGTTTTAGCTCTGCTAAAAGTGAGCATTCACAAACAAGAGGTGTTGATTCTGGCCGTAATAACAGAAGTAGGTAGAGGGGCTTCAAAGGTGCAGGGTATTTTTCCACCTCTAGATGGTGCCCTCTGACAAAAAAGGTCCAAATTTCTGAGTTAAAGATTTTATCTGCTCTCACAAATGAAGCAGTGACTGAAAAATAACAAGACAATTTACCTGTAGGATACAGAACAACATATATTAGAAAGATAAATAACAGCTTTGTTTTAAAATATGCTAGTAGTGTCAATTCTTTATTACATGGACATAAATAGAAGCCTATTTGGTAAAAATTGGCTGATTTATTATAAATGATGCTCTTGTGGCTCAATATCAGGTTTTCTATCTCCACAGATTTAATCAGGAACCAGAAAAACAACAACTGACGTTGGAATCCCGGCATTAGAAACGTCATTCGTTATCATAACTGTTAATGTCGTGTAGCTTGGAGATTTCCATCATATCAACGTGCCTTACAGAATTATCTAATCCAACAAGAGAAAAGACTGACAACTCATTTGTGCTAGCTGACTCATGTGCACACGTACGTACACGCGAGCATGCTGGTCCACAAAAACGCTGAGCGTTACCCTCTCCCTCTCTCTGTCTAGAAGAGTGGGAGTACCGAGCAACACCAGGAGCCAGACTGTGGTTCCTGGAGGCCAGTAAGAGCTCCACACAGTTAGACCTCACGTAGGAGGGTACAGAACAAAACGCTTCGTCCAGTCTCTAGATTCAGCTAATGTAACTGTCAGCAGCCCTGCCGGTGCGCACCTCGAGCTGCTGAATTATCAACCTTGACCATCGCCCTATTCTTCTGGTAAACAGCCAGTGGATAATCGAAATAAGCTAACACGGCTGGAATGAAACACTATCGATAGATTCATGTACACAAATGTACAACTGAGCATGCTGGCGGCTGAGAAGATGCTTTACTTCACTTGCAAACCCACAAGGTGAGCAGCAAGGAGCAGAAGACGTCAGCAGCCGGGGAAGCGCCGTCGGCCCCCAAGTGTAACAAAGAGATAATAATGATGTATTAGTTTGTAACTCTCACAGCTGGGATTGATGGTGATGACGGATGGCATCTAATGATGATGACAATGATGAAGAAGGCACCCGATGACGGCTCATAAAAATGACTGATGAACCTCGCTCCGGCTGGGGACTGCGGAGAGCAGATACCACTCTCAGAGCTTCGTGATGAAGCTCGTCGTCTTTGCTGCAATTTGTAGCGACAGTCATATTTCCATACAGCAATTAGCATTTCCCAGAACCCCACCCCCCCCCCCCCCCACCACCACGGGACAGAAAACCAGCCTTAAAGCAGATTGAGCACCTTACTTGGTTTTCATTTGTCCTCAACACTCCTCTGGAGCTGAGCCAACAAAACACCAGCATACCTCAGCTGAGATGGGACTGATTTAATCACGAATGATTTTTACCCATAACCTGTTGCTAGTAACCAACCAAGTGTCGTCATGGCAACCATCAAAGAAAACAACTATTCTTTAAACTGATAAGTACAGCGTTCACTTGTTTTTCTCAATAAAAGTCATTTGCTGTCAGAATAAAAGCTCTTGCGCTCCTGTTTCAGGGGTTAGACGTCTGTGGGAGGAGTGAGGGTCGTAAAACGGCAGGAATACAAATCTTATTCATTCATATTGATAATGCATCGCCTCTGATCGGCTAACATCAACACGACTCTTTCCCCTTCTTTTCACCGGCAGTGAAAGCGCTCACGTAACATTAGGGCTGCTCAATTAATCGAATTTTAATCACGATTACGATCTGAGTTTTGAACGATTATAAAAAACAAAACAAGCCGATTATTTGCTCCTCCCGCTTGCGCTGCCCTGAGTTGCAAATGAAGCGCTCCTCCACAGTGTTGCCAACTTAGCGACTTTGACGCTATTTCTAGCAGCTTCTCAGACCCCCTTCTTGACTTTTTAATCCTAAAAGTACCTAGTGAACACCTCAGAAACATCTCTGGTAACCACTTAGCTACTTTCTGGATAACTGTCGTCGACATTTCCTGCAGGTTAGCTAAACACTCCGCCTGTGCTCCGGACCGTTCTTCACAACATTAGGAAAGGGAATGATGTAGTGATGTGTTGGTCGCTAAAGACAGCTCTCGGAGCCGGCTCCTTGTTGGATTAACCAGAGTGAGTGACACACACCGTACCTGCGGACTCCTGAGCAGCTAAAAACAGCTAAATGTGCGCGTGCAGCGTGCCCGATTGCTGTGAGACCGGGGTGGGGGGGTGGGGGGTGCAGCTGTGGTTGGGACAATTATTACATTAACTGATGGGCCTGTAAATAAATAGTTTATAAATAAGGTAGAAATAAGTTCCTCACGCTGATAACTAATCTCTCTGAGGACACGGTGCTAGTGCACTCTCCTACAGCACCTTGACACGACTCAATAAATGTTATGTAACATTTTGTGAACATGAATTTATTTGCATTTATTTGTTATAAATGCCACTGTATAATTCTTGTTGTCAGTATTTGCAAGATATTGGTATTTGGGTCTGTACTGGTTAGACTCAAGGTCTATAGCCCTTGGGTCATAGACTATGAGCTATAAGTATATTGGTCTTTTTATCCTGGGAATCAGGAGTTCTTTTAGTGATCATCTTGTTTCTTATTTTTGTCCTGATTGTGCCCTGAGCAGTTTTATGACTGAATAAAAACAAATAAAATCAACATAAATTGAAAAATCGTCCTAAATAATCGTGATCTCAATTTCAGTCACCATAATCGTGATTATTATTTTTGCCAT